TTGAGCAGTGTGTGTTTATTAAAATATACGCCACCTTTTACCCTCTGTGCAAAAAATGTTCAGTTCCTAAAAAGTGCTATAAAAATATTATATATGATTTTTTTTTTCACTTTCACGGCATTAAATCTTTTTAACAAACATCAGTCCTAATCATAACTATTAAATTTACATGTATTTCTTAAATAATTTTAACTCTTTAATGTCATTTTGGGAATATTAACCCACATTTTTATTGTCGAAAACACAAAATTTGAATAACAACAACTTGTGTGTGTGTGTGTGTGTGTGTGTGTGTGTGTGCGTGTGTGTCAGTGAGAGAGTTAACTCAGTGGAGCAGAAGCTGCAGATCGCATATATGAACAATAACAATAACAACAACTTGCGTGTGTGTGTCAGTGAGAGAGTTCACTCAGTGGAGCAGGAGCTGCAGATCGCTTTCATGTGTACTTTGCATGAGTACTTGCTGCACTTGGAACACTGGGTCCAGACCTTTCGCTGTTGTGTGCAAAATGTGCATTGCTTGCGCCTCTTCAAGGGCCCGGCTTCTGCTGCTGCTGGCTCTGTTTCTTGGCCTTGGATCTGTGCAACCAGTGTGGCTGCTGCTGGTGTGCGCGGCATGCGGCGTCTTCGGGCCATCATTGGGGCAACTAGGGATTTTCCCAACTCCTCAAGAAACAGGCGCCTCCTAAACAGTTTCCTCTGATTCCAGCTGGGATCCACAGCCACAAAGAGGATGAAAGCATTATAGGAGGAGACGTCCAAGATGTTGCAAAAAAGGGTCTGTGGCCACCTGCAGGACCTCCGACGAGAGCTGTAGGTGCCAACAACCTTCAAAAGAAAAAGAAATGACCAAAGGAAAAAAAAAGCAAATATTCTTCCTCAACACAAATATAGACCATTTGTCATTCATTATATGAATATAAAAATTACTCAATAAAATGAACTAAATAACCTATGGCTATATCAGAAAATTATATATATTGAGTAATAACAAAATAAATTGCAAATTGCAAATAATTAATCTGTAATGGCACATACCTTATCTAGGTTGTCGACTGCACCTTTGCAGTGATTGTAGTCAGTCACAATCTTAGGTTTCTTCTTCGGGCCCTCCTCCACTGCTGGCTCCCTGTGTTTTGTGCTGAGCAGCAAGACGTTCCTTCCCCTCTTTGGCACGTAGGACACAGCTGTTTGGGTGCGAGTGAAGGCGAACACTGAGGACAGCGGTTCTCTCAGCCGGGTCTGTAGTAGCTGTGGGGGGAGCTCCGGCTTGTTTTTTCTCAAGGTGCCCACCAGGGTCATTTTCCTCTTCCGTAGCTCCTCCGCCAGCGGAAACGAAGTAAAGAAATTATCCATTGTGACAGTGTGGCCCTCAAGTCCCTCTGTCAACTCAAGCACCACTCGCATCCCCTGGTTAACCTCTCTCTCCGCTCCTGGAGACCTCCCGGTATAGACCTGCATTCTCCAGGCATATGAGGTCTCCACATCACACACTACCCAGACTTTCAACCCATACTTAGCTGGTTTGCTTGGGATGTACTGTCTGAATGAACAGCGTCCCCTGAAAGGGACCAGCTGTTCATCGACACATACATCCCGGCCTGGGTTGAAAAGGAGGGGGAGGCGGGTGCTCCACAAATCCCACAAACCCCGGATGGCAGCCATCTTATCCCTCTGTTGACGCGCTGGTCTGCTCAGGCAGTCGTCAAACCTGAGGGCCACGCTGATCTGCTGGAACCTCTTCCGGGACATTGTGGCACGAAATATTGATCTTCCCGTGTCCTCAGCCCAGAGGCTCTGTGTTGCCTCATCCCGGGATCTGTAGACTCCAGCCAGGATTAGCAATCCGATAAAGGCCCACAGCTCCTCCACATCTACATCTTTCCATTCTGCTGCTGTTCGTCTCCCCTGTAGATTGGTGTTCTTGAGGATAAGCTGAATAATTTCCTCAGTAATGAAGAGCTCAAAGGATGTCTTTGGGCTGCTGATCCTGTCTGAGGCATAACGCGTGGGCCCTGAGGTCAGAATTGGAGGTGGAAAATACCGCAGAGTCTCATCAGGGGTTGGACCCCAGATCACCTGCCCATTTCTGGATTTCCAAGCAGCAGCAGCCTCCTCCTCCTCCATGTCCTCACATGAGCTGGAGCTGGAAAACCCATCCTCTTCAAATTCAGGTAAAGCCTCCCCTGATGTCCCCTCACTGCCTGTGTCAGTCCTGCTGGATTCCTCTTCCTCACCCTCAGAGGACTGCAGGACAGCAGTCAGAGCCTCCTCCACAGAAAAGCGTCGCTTCATTTTTGCTGATGAAATGACCAGCCATGCAAGCTACATGCACTTATAGGTTTGCAGCAACAGCACCTGCGTAAACATGCTGCAGTGAAATCCAAAACAAAAAAGACCTTGTTTTGGTTATGGAGTACTCCTCTGATCGTTGACCTTTTGATCACTACTTTTTATTTACAAGTACTGTAGTGTGCATGGGACTCCGTATTGGTGTGTGTGTGTGTATGTGTGTGTGTGCGCGCGCGTGTGTCTGCGGGAATAAGAAAGGGAGAGAGACAGGGTGATGTGGGAAAAAAGACTTTGCTTTGGTAATGGAGTGCTTTGATATTTGACCTTTTGACTTCAATTTTTTACAAGTACTGTAGTGTGTATGGGGCTCTGTATTCGTGTGAAGGTGTGTGTATGTGTCTGTGTGTGCGCGTGTGTGCGCATGTGGGTGTGTGTGGGGGGTAGTCCGTGGGCATGAGAAAGGGAGAGAGAGGGGATGAGCAAAAAAGACTGCTTTGGTAACGGAGTCCTTCTTTGATCTTTGACCCTTTGATCTTGATTGATTTCTTTTTTCTTTTTTTACAAGTACTGTAGTGTGTATCTGTGTGTCTGTATTGGTGTGTGTGTGTAGGGGGGTTGACAATGTAGTCTGTGAGCAGAAAAAAGAGAGGAAGAGAGATGGGATGTAAAAATGTGATGAGCAAAAAAAGACCTTCTGTTTCCCTGTGCACACACACACACACACACACACACACACACACACACACACACACACACAAATAATTTTCTCAATACACACATTCATACAACACTTATACATCAATACCAATACACCCAGACCATTTTAGTTGTAATCATGTATTCTGTTGCCAAGCAACAGTCAGAAATGCAACAGGAAGAGGCCTCAATGAAACAGCATATAATGGAGCCCTCAGCCATATGGTGTAAAATGACATCATATGATGGATAATTGTAAAAAAAAAAAATTTCAAGCCAAAAGCTTAGATTGAAAAGGTAGTAATATGTAAAACAGTGTTTTATGCTTAAACTACAGTAGGATCAAAAATGTATGTTATAATGGGAGTCAATGATGCAAAAAATGCCTGGAGGGTAAAAGGTGGAACTATTTTTTTTACACATATTATTATAGCCAAATTATCAGATCCAAGTTTGAAACTTTAAAACTTCATAAGAACCTGAAATCCTTGCAAAATTTTGTCCTGCTACCATGAACACAGGCAAGGTTATTGAGTATTTTTAATCAAAAAATGCAAAAAATGTACCAAGGGGTGCACAAGGGTTAAGTGTTTTTTTTTAACTGGTTTGGATCACCTGGTCTGTTTGTTTTGAAGAGGAAGAGACCTCTACAGATAATTCTGCCCCTGTTAAAAAGCC